CACGTAACAATCTTCACAACCCCGTAATGCATATAGATTGTTCTCATACATTTTACTGTTAAAAAATTACTGTAGATTAATCAACAATAGCATTAATTGGTTTTAAATAAGAAACACCCAAATTCAGTGCGTATTGGAAGATACCATTTAAAGTGTTTTAAGTGTATGTTCATCACTGTCAGAATTTTAGGCTGATGAATATTACATGGTATTCGATTTATAACAGACAGCGTTTAGATTGGCAAAGCATGTAACACGATATAAATTGGTTGTTGATTGTAAACAATAATTGGTTTAATGAACTGATAGATAATGCGTTAAAATAGTAAACAATAAAAATTCAAAACGTTTATTGGTCATCAGAACACAACTACGACGAAGCTGATAGCAACTGATGTACCCAAGAAACCAGTGTACCTACAGTTACCTTTCAGGGGTGATCATTGCATGAAAATTACAACCAAACAGACTGCAGCTGCAATAAAAAAGACCTTCAATGTAGCTAATCTGAGGCTTATCACAACAACCCAATCGATCTCAGTTACCCCAATCAAGTCTCCAAGACCGATTCTGTTCAAATCCCACTGTAATTACCAATTCAAATGTAACTGCGGAGAAAGTTACTTAGAGAGGACAGATCGCCGATTGGAAGACAGGATAGGGGAACATATTCCAAAATGGTTAATCAAATCCATGATTCATCTACCTAGCCCATCATCTCAAAATCGATCAAGAAACCCAGCCTCGTCCAATGGAAAACATCTAATGATGAGTGGTCATCAAATTGACCCAAAATCAGCCTTTAGAGTTGTGACATGTCGTCAAAACCCACACACAATGAAACTACTCGAAGCTATCTTGATTGGTCGGAAAAGTCCAACTTTATGTGTTCAAAAACAACTGTATGTTGACCTTTTTTTACCATGGTTCTAGTGAGTGAATGTCATGCTAAATAAGAAATTTTGACCTTATTTTCAAAACTGTATTTACACAAATAACATGTTGCTTGTATGTGACTAACGAGAAAGCACGAAATGGTACTATCTCACAAAATATGTCTTCTCATTTCTCTATT